TGGCGAATGTTCTAGTTCTTACTAGATATAGGGTAGGCGGATATATAAAAGAGGGGATATTGTAATGTGTGGGAAGATAGTGAGTAATTGAACTGCAGTCAGAGAGCACGAGAGACGTTACAGCGTTGTTTAGCGCGATTGTTGAAGTTGAGTGTATCGGTAAAGTTATATTCGGAAAGAATAAACCAGTTTTATTAAGTAAAGACTTGTGTCGTTAAAATTTCGTCGGAACAAAGTTACGAAAAAAAATCAATTAACAAACGGAGACGTAACAGTATGATTACATTTCGAGGTGTATTATGTACTGCCAAACCAGTAATTTGGAAAGAAGATATTACATAGCATACTTAGATGTTGAAAACCAAGAACTTTAAGGACCATTGTATATAAGGAAATTAACTTATAATATAACAAAAAGGATAATTATGACTGTGAACATGATATTTAGCATAAATAACTATGAAGGGAAAAGTTAACATGAGTATGCAAAAGACAGTGGAGGATAACAAGATTACTATTATATATAAAAACAAATATGTAGAAAGTGCTGTTGAGGGAGTCATAAAAGATAAACAAGACAAGCCTAATGATGTTCAATGTTTTGTCAAGTAGCTGCAAGTGAAGCATGGTGTTGCAGAACAAAATGAAACATACTTGCTTTCACAACAGTTTTTGACTGGAATAATTATCAGACCTAAAAATATAAATGCTGTAACTGTGGTAATCAAACTCAATGAAAGACCAACATTTGAAAATAGTGAAAAATTACATTGGACTATATCAGAGTCTCCATGTCAAGAGTACTTGCTTACTCAAGAGTTGTATAAAAGTTTTGTAAACAGAAAAAATTAAGATTATTGAAATTTCTATGCTGAACTAGAACAAACAAGTTTTGTCACAAAATGTCAAAATTTTGCAAGAATTCTTCAATAACTCAGATCTAGATATGACAAACAGTAAGAATCCTTTAGAAATAAAAGCTATAATAGTACAGAGAAGTAAATTTGAATGATATTCCTAAAGAATAACCCATTGGGCATATAAATAAGAAAGTGGATCAATCTATTGGTTTCAAATTGTGGTATTCACAAATACAGATAATTTTACTTGGCATGTGGTGATTCTAAAAATAAAAAAGCCATAAACTCAAGAGTCTAGACCCCCTCTGTGATAGAAAAAAGGATAACCTATACATTAAAGGAGGAGAGTTATTATTGAAAACAAAAAGGTTGCCAAGAATTTGATGTTTATAACACTATTACTCTAATAACCCTAAAATTTTAAGTTTCAAATGTTAAATTTTAAGAACTTAATAGCACATTAGTATAATAGTTGATTAAAGGCATATAAAAAAGGTTGTCTTTTGAAGTATCCAATCACAATCAAACAAGCCTTTCTGAATTAATTGTTCAGATCTTTTTCTATTCTGTCAACCAAAGCCTTTTCTACATCCAATGATGCAACCAGCTCATGGAAGTGTTAATAGATTATTTGGAATATTTTTTGATTAAGTGGGTTTTGCTATTGCTTGCTGATAAGATCAGTCATTTTCTTAATATGTCTTGATTTCACTCAGTTTCATTCCAATCATTTCCCTAAAAAAATTCCCTTATCTAACTCTTTTTGAAGTTGTTTCATTGCTTTTTCATATATTGTTTTCATTTTGAATGGTCACTTGGGTATTTCTGTAAGACACAGAATGAGTATAATATGATCTGTGGTATTTTGTATCATATGCTAACAAATAAAGATTTTGCTTCTTCTAACATTCTTGCCATATATTTCTCAGTTCCAGTGAATTGCATTGGTTCTCCTTTTAGCAAAACACAGGTATTTAGTTTTGCAATTCAACCCGAGAACTAAATTTTCTTCCAACAATGGCCTTCTCCTGTAGCACCACTGAGTTTAATGATCTGAACACAGTAATAAAAAACAGAAGAAATTAAGCTCAACAACACCAAGCCCACTAAACACGACATAATTATTTATCTGTATCATAATTTAGAAAATCTAACATTTAATTTTGGCTTAAAAGTTTTATGAAGCATATGAAAAAATGGTTGGATGTATGAGTGCATTAATAATTTAAATTATAATGACAAAGAAAACTTTATCTTTTGCAATCATTCCAGAATATATGTGTGTGTGGATCCCCTGGTAAATCAATTTATTGGCTGGCTCTTTACAAGTTATAATGTTTTGCCAACTTTAACTTCATGCAATGCAAAGCCATATAAAAAGCAATAACTATTCCTTTTTTGGGATTTTTTTTTTCTTCATTGTAGAAGGATGTATCTCTGATGTTTCTTCATTGGTAATTTCACAAATGGAATTTGGTTTCATCAACACTTTTTAATAACCTTTTATTGCCATATTTAGACTTGATTTTTGTGGCCAATCAGATCTTTTGATGCAGTTTATAGCTTTTTTCTTCTGGACCACATTACATGAATGTGTGCAGTGGAAGATCCAGAGATCACAACAATAATACCTGTAGTTTTGCCTTAACTTATGAAGATGGGATAATAATAGAAAGATTAGAGAGCAGGGCTAATGCTAAATATTTATGGTAATTACATATGATGATTGTAGCAGCACTTGAAGTCAACATTTAATTCTATCCTGGGAAGGACAAACCTTTCAATTTGACTTTCAAGATAAAAAATTTAAGTCCTAGGATTATGTCTGTCATTGGATCTTAAATCATGGCTCATTAAGAATGGATACTGGCAGGCAAACAAAAACAGAAGTAATTCTCAAAAGTTTGTGTTTTCATCAGATTACATGCTATAAGTTAATGTTATAATCCACCTGGCTGATATATAAACTACATAAAGGTTTTCAACCATACCTTATTACTCATGGAAAGACCTCTAGTATTTACTTTTTGAAAAAAATTATAGTTTTTGTTTTGTTCAAACTTAAAGACAAAGCTACACAATGGGCTATCTGTGTTCAGCCCACCACAGGTACTGAAACCTGGTTTCTAGTGTTGCAAGTCTGCAGACATATTGCTGTGCCACTTAGGGGCAAAAAAATCTAAAACACAAAATTATAATTGTTTCATCTACCATTTAAAATTTTTAGAAACATAGTCAGTAGAGGATTTTCTACAGGCTCAAATACATTACACCCAGCATGGAGGATGACTTCACCATCAGTTATGTCATTTACAACAAAGCTCAAGGGTCTTTCGTGTATTTCTCTATACATTTAATGATTTATGGATAATTGTAAATTCTTATGAACAGGTTTTTAAATATTAAAATTGTACTTCCATTGCATTATGAAGGTGTTTTTATTTTTATTGAATGTGTGGCATTTAAATAGATTGTATTCATGTTTTAAAATATATTTTTGCACTTCAATATAAACAGTTTTTATTGTATTTATAGCAATTTTAAATTACTTATTTTCACTTTGGGTAACATTTTTCAGCATTCTAAGTTTCTTTCTAACATTAATAAGAAGTTGCGATATTAGTTTTAGTATTGAATGACTATTACTGGTTAATATACTGATATACATTGTTTACTTTCATTCTCAAGTTTTTACAATTATTAAATGCGGACAGGTTTCATTAGTGTAGTTTAATGACAAAACATTGTAGTTCTGTACACCATGTAGAGATTAGAAAATCAAGAGTTTAGATATACTAATTTGAGTAATTCTCTGCTATTTACAAAAGTACCATGGAAAGAAGAGCTATCTTGCCAATTTTTAAGTTCCAGAGTAAAAGGCTTGTTTCATAACAATGGCTAACAAGTAACATTGCCTTCAGAGTAAACATTTAATTTTATTTCTTTGAAACAAAGTAGCATTATTTTCCCCCCAAAATATCACGTGTCATTGTAGTTTTATCTGAACAAGTTCTTTGTTACAACTGTTATTGTTTGTTTGTTTTGAATTTCGCGAAAAGCTACACGAGGGCTATCTGCACTAGCCGTCCCTAATTTAGCAGTGTAAGACTAGAGGGAAGGCAGCTAGTCATCACCACCCACCGCCAACTCTTTTACCAACGAATAGTGGGACTGACCATCACGTTATAACGCCCCCACGGCTGAAAGGGCGAGCATGTTTGGTGGGACGGGGATTCGAACCCACAGATTACAAACCGAGTGCCCTAACCATCTGGCCATGCCGGGCAACTGTCATTGATTTAGGTTCTAGTTTACATTAAAAAAGCAACTAAAGTGATTCTGTATTATCAACATAATAATACCACATTTTAATAACTAATTTTTAAGTATGATTATGTTCTTCTATTTGGAATTAAGAAAACTTGCATCCCATTTACATTCTGGTATAGTAATAATTCAACAATGTTTATTAACAATAAAATGTACCATGTTTCAAGAAATGCAGGACTGAGGTAATAAGTGCAAAAATAGTGTTTGCCCGAATAGAAGATATTTTTTAGGCTTCACACATATTGGACACTACCAAACCCCATATAACCAATTTTGGACTAATTTTAATGACAATTAATTTATTTAGTATAATGCAATGATATACTAATCTTAATGGTACGGACAGTTTGTACATACTTCTTTTTCCACACACACATGCAGTTTTTGCCTTTTGGAATATCCTGCACAAGTGTAATCTCCTTATAAAAACAAAGGTATACACTTACTAAAAAGGTTTAAGAAGAGGCTCTAGAATAGTTCCAAAAATGAACTGTTGGGTTGAGAAAAGGGTAAGAGGTGATCTCACTGAAGCTCACAATCATTTTAGGAATTAATAATTTTTAAGACTTGTAAAGAGGCTAGGCTCTAGTTATTACTTCAACAGTGATTAAGTAGTTATCAGCTATAGTGGAGACGTGCACTTTACAGGAACTGATTTTACCTTTTCTCAAACATAGTTGTGCAAGGCTAAACCAAATTGATTCCTCGTTGTTCATAAGTCATATTCAAAAAACATTTAAAACCCCGAGTTACAAGAAAATGTTTTTTATTTCAATTCAAGATTTACATTCAAAATTTGTAAGTCACAAGTAATGGGTATGTTTATTTTATTATGAGAATTCACAATAATAAAATGTTAATCTTATCTGAAATCTGTGAGGTTGTGTGGCTTTCAACAAGCCAACACAATGCTATAAAAACAAATTCACACAACTCAAAATGACAAGAAGCACAATAATAGTGAAGACTTTACACTTCAGTCGCAGAATGTATAACCCTTGGTAAAACAAGGGCAATCACTGATTCGACGAAGGTACTTCTGAAGCATCTTGAAGAACTTCTACTCAGAAGACACTGTTTGAAGAAAGGAGTATTTGCATTGAATTATTGAAGCAAAGTCAGAATGGTTCTCCATTTTCATGGATTCCAAACATGAAATGTAGTGAAATTAGACAAGAATCAAACAAGATGCAAAAAATAAGCTGCTGGTTAACATCTGTAAATGGAAGAGAATGCTTAGTTCTTCCAAATCTGGGATTCAATGGATCTGAAGGTCACAGAAGCAAATTATGAAGCATATAACTTTGAAAAAAGTCAATGTTTGTACTAACCAGTTGTTCATCCAAATGAGTCCAAGGCCCGCATGTGCATCTCAAGAGATGAAGCAGTGGCTCACAAAAATTAGTATCATCACTGTAGAATTGTAGCTGAGGGTAGCATTTTGAGAGAAGCATTAAATCAAGATACTTACCTTTAAGTGCTTTTTCAACTAGAAAACTCAAAATAGCTACCTCTATGTAATTTCGGTTTCTCAAATGAAGGGTAATAAAACTTACCTTTTCCTGGAATGAAGCTCCATTGTTAAAAAAATGAAAATAAAATCTGGAAAAATGGCTTGGTGCAACATCACTGCAGGCTATTGAGAAAGGCTGAAGCAGAGAGTAATAATTAATTCATAATTTTGAAGTAACACCTGGTGTATTTCTGGAAAACGAAATAACAAGTGAAAGACACTGGAAATAGTCCTTAAGATGTTGCAAACTCTATAATCCACTGAAGAAGTCTGGTGCTATTTGGAGGAATAAATTAATAACTTATACATCAATGCTAAGCATGAAACTGGATATAAGCAGCAGTCAGTTATGAGGTAGTTTAGTCTAAATTGACAGATGTAGTCTGCTGATGCAAAATTGAAGGAAAACATGAAGTTCCAGGTTGGTAAAAATCTTACTTAACTGCTGCATAAGGTTTCATCCTTTGCGATTTTATATAGTACATAGAAGCAAACATTTCATAAAAACAAAGAAAACTCAGAAATGCAGGTTGACAAAATTTTGAAAGTGAGCCTTTTCAATTCAAAACTTGAAGTAAATAAAGCATGGTTTTGTCGATGAGAAGAGTATTCAATTTATCACCATGATCATATAGTAATACAAATTATACTTCAATGCTGTAGTAAAATAAATATCCATTGTGCTCATTTAATCAGTTTGGTAATTAAATTACATATTTACAGGTCCTAGAAATCTTAAACATTGCCCTGTTTTGGGAAGTTATAAATTTTTTAGATTTTAATTTTCAGAAAAAAATTTATAACTTATAGGTCATGAAACATCCACAATTGAAGTTAATGATAAAAACCAGTGGTTTTGTAGACCTACTCAAAATAATGGCAAATGTGAGCCATAGAGGCCAAGTAACTGACTAGATATGATGACTATGCCTAAGTCCATGCTAAAAAGTTAGGCTAAAAGATGGAAAGTGACGAAGGCTTTGCTCACTTTGTAAACTACCTGTTGCTAATTGGGGACCTGCTGCGGTAGCTTGGACCAGAGCTCTTGTAGTCATAAGAATCATAACCATCTCCGTACGAGTCAAAATGATCAAATCTACCTCCTCCATCTCGAGACCTGTATCCGCCCCCTCTGCGAGAGAAGCTGCTATCTCCCCTGTACGAGTCGTATGATGAACCCCGTCTATCATATCCCCCACGATTACCTCTAAAGCCACCACCTCGCCCTCCTCTGAATCCCCCTCTTCCTCGCGGTCCTCCTCTTCCACGTCTTCCTCGAGACATTTCTACCCTGATTCTTATGCCATTGATAATTTGCCCATTCATTGAGCTGATTGCTTCATCGGCATCATCCCTGTGATCAAATTCTACAAACCCAAAACCAGGAGGGTTCTGAGCCACCCACACACTCAAAATTTTTCCAACTTTACTAAACTCCATCTCCAAATCTTCTTTTTGGATATCTTCAGTCAGACCTCCAACAAAAACTCTTGTTCCTCTGTCCCTTCTCTGCATCTTCTTTAAGCTACACAGAATCAAGAAAATAATACTGCAAACATTTTCTTTGCAAAGAAACAAAATATTATAACTATATATTAATAAACAAAAATATACTGATGACGAATTAGCATTCAGCAGAAACTATTAGAATCTATTCACTTGACATTGTCCAATATTCTTGCCAATTGACACCATAAAATTAACTTGCATTACCTAGACTACAAACCATTAACAACAACCTAAAGAAGTCAGGACTGCCACAAAAAAAAAAAATACTTAATACAATTCACCCAATAATTTAAGGTGAACCAGACTAGAAAATACACACCTAGCTCATAATCTTAGTAATCATACAATCAATTACAATGCATGAAAAAGTATTAACTGATTAAGCTATCATTCTTGTCGTGGTTATATGTTTTTCTTCTTTTTTAGGTAATGTTTTTAACACAGTTTGAGTTTACATAACTTTAGTTATGTATATTAATGACGAAAATGAGACTACTGTTTATGTTAGCGTTAATAAAATCAAAGTTGGGTTATAAAATAAATATTCTCAATTTTACTAAACATTGTAACTTCTACTCAATATTGCAAGTAGTAGTATCCAGTTAACTTTAACTACATTTTCCATTAATCCTAAGATAGTAATACTAATTTTTATTACTAGTAGTACTACTGGCACTGCTTTACTTTACAAATTACAATACAGTTTACTTTTACTTAAGTAGTGCTTACTAACTTTAAACACTCGCATCAAACCAAACGTTTACGAATAATTATAACATAATTTTGTGATTTAACTGGTACTACTAATAAACGGTATTATACTTGTAAAACATCAAACTAATAATGTGAAATTATATTTAATACACCATAAATTATAATACTAACACCAAATTTTTCTCTCTTCCAAGTCTTTGTCTGAAAAAGCTGTAATGCGTCAAATTGCCTATTTACTAGATATTCCTACGACAGAACAACCGGTTAAAACCGCTTTTTATATTTTTGTTTTGAAGCAGAAAATATTTAAAAACATTTTATCTGAATAATACGACTTTCAAAATAAATTGAACCATTATAACAGTTCTTTATGTCTCAAAACAAAAAGAGTGGTTTTTAACATAATTATATTTTTATTGTTAAGAGCTATCGGAAGGATACACCGTATAACCCCGTCAGTTTCTTGCCACAATGACCTTGTACGTGTATTATACTTGGAATGAAGTTGTTGGGTGGTGATTCATTTGACGAGGGTTCCATATTGGGAATAAAACGTATTTGTTATTACTTCAACTGGAGCAATACATTATCTTCTTCAATTCGGCTGTACCATTTTTAATACTATCACAATACAGTATTTTAATGATATATATTTATTTGAATTTTAAGTGATATACAGGTGAAATGTTACGAATACTATCTTGTTATTATGCTGTATTGATATTAGAGATTCCAAGCAGTTACAGTAATTAAGTTGCAAGTTTAACAAGAGGAAGTCCTTAATAGCCACGACACTTGAAATTATTTTAGACAGGATGAGAGTAAATTAATCTATGAGACATTTTTCCCTTTTTTTTTATTAACTATATTTTTGTGTGGCAGCAATACCAAGCGTGGGGCGCGCGTTTACCCGATTCAATTTTAATACTCACCAGCAACTCTACCAGTCTACCCTCAAATAGAAATTCTTTTAGACAGAATTAGAGTAAATGAATATATGAGACCTTGAGCGTGGTTGACCTTCTGAATCCAAAACTGTAATTAGATCTCAAATCGGTCAAGAAATGATGGAGCTATGAGATAAAACTTTGTATTTGAAAAAAAATCAACAACAAACAAAGCACAGAGCCGTTCTATGAGCCACTAGGCCGCGGCTAAAAACTTGGTGAAGCATCAGCCCTTAATCAGAAATATAGTAATGTGTTAATCAAACCTTTCTTTACTGGACTTGTGCAGATTTCCAGTATGTGTACTAAGAACAATGCTGCCGCTATTACCCTCTTCTTACTGAAAACCCGTATTCAACTAGTAAATAACATGAAAATATGCTAGTACTACTAATAATATAATACCATTCATAGCATACCCAGTATTTTGATGTAAACATAATCACAAAACTGGCATTGAAGTCTAGACACATGTCAATGGAGAGATTCGACAGCTCAAGATTTTGAAATTGCTCTGGTGGGAACACCGTAATTGGAAGTTTAAAGCTAATACTTGTTTGTAAAACTACAGTGTGTTTTTTCATGTGAACTGATTTCCTAAAGATATCAGATAGTTAGATCCACTAATAACAACAAATTAGAAAAGGAAATACTTTATTTAATAACTTGACTGATTTTTTTTAGTGTCTGTGTAATGAATAAAATATTTATTACTACACAACAAAAAACATAAGATGCATACTTCTACTAAGCTCAGTGTACCTAGTTTTCAGTTTGCGTTTTTTTCTTATTGGTTGAGTTTTGTACCACTGAAGATGTTTATTAACCCTATCGTCACGGGTCAAAGGCCATGTCATTGCGTTTGCTTACTTACATTCAAAATGTTATTGAACTATTATTTTATGAATTTATGTCAATAAGTTTGGTATGAAATTTTAGACTATAATTCAAATTTTTGTATTATACTGTACGGCAGCGGAAGTCACGTGACGCTGGTAACACGTCATGAGTTTCTAGAAAGATCATGACTGTTCATTGCAACTCTAGTGTTTGCCAGACGCCCTCTGTTTTTGTATATAAGCCTGGTAAATAAAGCGGAGATATAATGGCAGATAAAGAGATATAGAGACAGATAATTGAGTCAAGTGAGCAGTAGTGACCGTAAGTAAATTGCGTGAATCGTTGTGAATTATAGCGCGTGTTTAAGCGAAAGTGACTGTGGAAATTTTGTGTATTGCAAAATTGTATTGAGAAAGAATAAACTAGTTTTATTTAAGAAAGGACTTGTATCGCTGAAGTTCCTTGGGAAGAATTTTTACGGGAAATTAACAAACGACTAGAGATGTAACAAATTTGTGTCAGAAGTGGGATTGAAAAAAAAATGAAGATGGAAACGAGAAGTGGCAAACTACAGCTTAGCAGATTTGATAGCAGCAACACAAGAACAGCAAAAGAAACAAAAAGAGAGATTACAGCAGTTATTGGAGGAAAAAGAAAAGAAACAAGAAGAATGAGAAAAGAAACAAGAAGAGAAACTACAGCAGTGGTTGGCAGAGAAAGAAAACGAACAAGAAGAGAGACTACAGCAGTGGTTGGAGGAGAAAGAAAATAATCAAGAAGAAATTCTCCAACAGCTGAGAGAAAGCCACCATACAAAAATGGAAAAGATGAGTAAATTTCAAAGTAAATTAAATACATTAAAAGACGAGTTATTCTCTTTTACACAAGGAGGATATATTAGCCATGGGCCTAGTCAGCCCCAGACAACAGGAAGCCCCTTCCAGACCCCGCAGCTAAATCCTAATGCAGACATATTCAGTCCAGCCAGAAGTCACATTCCAGACATGAGTGTCAGCAATAGGGGTGATCTAGTACGAAGGAAGCCACCATAATTCGATGGAAAAGCACCATGGGAAGCATATAGAGCACAATTTGAGCTACTGGCAGAAATAAATGGATGGACAGAGGAGCAGAAAGCAGTGTACCTGGCAACGAGCTTGAAGGGACAACCACTGGAAATACTTGGACAGTTGTCAGCAGACGACAGGCACAACTATAGAGCACTAGTAGCTGTTCTAGAACTCAGGTATGGAACTCAAAATCAGTCCAAAGTCTACAGGGCTAGGTTTAGGACTAGAGTTCATGCTAAAGGGGAGAGCCTGCTAAAGCTGGCACAGGATTTGGAAAGTATGGCACACAAGGCCTACCCAACTGTGCCACCCGATGTTCTCAAGTTGTTGCTGAGGGATCAGTTTGTAGACGCCTTGGACAGTCCACAACTGAAGATACAAGTAAAGCAAGCACACCCCTCTATCATGCAGGATGCAATGACCAGAGCTCTTGAATTCGAATCCTATGTTAAGTCCAGCATAGAGGTACCAAGGCTGGTACAGCCATCGGGATTCAAGGCCAGAAGAGGACAGCTTTCAGAGAGGTTTGAGGGACTTTGCTGGCACTGTAAGAAACCTAGGCACAAGAAAGCTCAATGCCAGCAACTTCAACACATGGAAGATGCCATGGCAGGAAAGGCTGCTACCCAGAATGGTTGTTGGAACTGTGGGGAGTAAGGACATATGAAGAGCCAGTGTAAGAAAAATATTACCAATAAGTCAGCCTCAAGGAAACTAGTAGTGGTTGGTGTTGAGGGACGCCCACCAACCCCCCATTGTGAAAGTCCCAACAGCTAAGTGTAAAATGGCAAGCACACATAGTGTCTACGTGACAGAAAAGCTGGATGGCCAAAAGTGCAACTTTGTCATGGATTCTGCATCTCAGCAAACCCTTGTGAGTATCAAGGTGCTGGATCACAAAGGAGTACCAGAAGCCATACAGAAGCTCTGTGGTGTGACAGGACATTATGCAAGGTTGTGGGGACCAGTGTGGGTAACGATTGAGCTCATGGGCATGAAGGACAGACAGAAAGTATACTTGGCTGACATTGAAGACCAATGCATACTAGGGTTGGACTTCTTACTACCGAGGAAGTATGTAGTTAAGTTTGATAAAATGACGTTTGGGAACAATAAAGGCCAAATTCTGGTAAGCGTTGCTGCTTCTGTTGCACTTAAGTCAACTACAATTCCCTCTATGTCAGAGAAGATAATTTGGGATAGAATAAATGAACATCCCCAAGGAAGCCTGATGCTTGTGGAAGCAGTGGAAGACCCATCCAGGCCAGCAGACGGGAAGATTGGAAGGTCACTTGTGGCAGGTCATCAAGTAGTACCCATAACAGTGGCTAATTTCTCTAAATGTGAGCAGACACTTAAGGAAAGGGCATTGTTGGGTGTGTGCCAGGAGGTAGAGCCAGTCAGTGTTCAGACAAGAAATACAACCATAAAGAAAGGATATTCACTCCCAGAACATTTAACTGACCTCTATAAGAAGAGCATAGTCCATTTGTCATAATCACAGGCTCTTCAGGTTTGAGAACTCTTGGCGAATTATGCAGACGTCTTTTCAAAAGGAGATCATGACTTCGGCTGCACAGACCTTGTGGAGCACAGAATAAACACTGTCAATCACCGTCTAATAAAGATCCCTCTGAGGAGAATAGCTTCAACAAAACAACAAGAGATGGAGAAGGTTATGATAACCTAATTAAGGAAGGGATAGTCGAGAAATCAGCTCCCGTCATGTTTGTCCAGAAGAAGGATGGAACTCAACGTTGCTGTGTGGAATGCAGGGCTCTTAACAATATAACTGAAAAAGACTCATACCCACTGCCAAGAATTGATGATACT